ATGTGAAAGCATGACTTTCAACACAAAATTAGCTATGTTTGTGTAAACCCTCTTTTCATCGTGGCGGCATCCCATGTTCCGCCACCGGCGACACCGTATGGTTCGGCTTCCTACACCAATTAATGGCTAATTTAATCATTGAATTTTAGTACCAAGTTAATTTGGGGTCAGATACCTTACCGTAAACCATAAAATATTGCCATCATCACGATCCAAAGCCCATGCAAATCCACTTTTTTGGACTGCAACGACGATGTCTTGCTCAGTTCCATTCACGTCTATGCTTAGCATCATCGGTGCTTCGTCGAAATCAGCATCAGGGTTTGGTCCCGGAGGACAATCAGGAACTGAAAGATTAATACAGGCAAAAAACCAAACATCATAGCTCCCTAGCTGATGGAACCACTTGATTTTTCCAGTGTCCAAATCAAGGGCCATGAATGATTCTGATTGATTTCGGGATCGATACATTCTTCCGAATGCGTTGGAGGAACTTGGGTTTAATTGTTTTGTCTCTCTTGGCAATCAGATATGTTTTGGGGAACCGAGTAGAGGTTCCCGGTGGCAATGTAGACGAGGCTCCACTCGGCGTCGATTGGCGGACTGCTGCCCCAAATGGCAGTCCCGGCGTATTCGCCACGATTGCCGAAGTTGTCGAGTAAAATGAAGGTTTGCCACAAGATTTTGCCGGTTTTTACGTCGAGTTTGACGAAGCTCCCTCGAAAGGTGCAGCATTTATCAAGGCTTAGCACTTCTTCCAGTGAAGATGTGCCAACGTAGAAATTCCTGAGTTTAAATCAAATGGAGACAATAATATACTAGGTTTTATTACAAATGCATATACGTCTGACATTGTTGATTTTGATCCCAAACTTTGAGAATGAATTTGTTATCTGAAAGATGCATTCTATATAATTTGAATTTATTTATATAAAATTTAATTTTTTAATAAAATATTAGAATTATTAAAGAGTCAAATTATTGATGTGATCCGTATTTTAAACGAAATTATGTATTGTTCATCTAAATTATTATTTTAATAATAAAAATAACAACTTTTACAATGATTTAGACGGTTTATTTCCCTTGTATAGTTTTTTTAACTTCATAGGTGAGCTTAGATATGGTCCAAAATTTCAAAGGATTATGAGGTCAGCCAAACTAAATAATATATATAGCCTTGCATATGACTTTTGGATTGTTATCAAAACATTATCCGAATCTGCCGATCTTATCGATCTTTCTATTATTGATATCTTAAAATTCGGAAATGAAATAAATTATACATATGATGCAAATCTAGTATGTTGCAGGCCAAGTAAATAATAAAATACGGCAAAAAGCATGGAGGCTCTTGCACTTTTGAAAAAAATTAATATGACACTCAAATTATTTTATTCACTTAACGTGACCCTTAAACTCAGAAAATATACCTACTATAATCGTGTAACAAATATTTTTCATTGTTGACCGTTACATTAGTGACATGGTGATTCATAGTGTTGCTGTGGCGATTTATAGTGTTGAGGTGACAATCCAATGTGACAGATGACATGACAAATGTGCTAAACTAATTTTTTTGGTCTTGTTCAAGGGTCAAATTGGTCAGCACTGTAAACTACCACATTAACAATGTAACGGTCAACGAGGAAAAACATTGATCAAATGTCACATTGAATGAAAAAATAATTTGAGAATTACATTGATTTTTTTAACGGACAAATACCTATGATGCCTTTTAGCCATTAAATAATTATGAATATCTCAACAAGGTAAGATCTAATTTCCTAGTATATATATTATATGCTGATATCACATTTCTATTATAATTATCAAGGATTTGATGATTCATATGCCTACATTTTTATTTTTAAAGAAGCCAAAAATTATGTCTTTTTAATTAGGGTAAACTTCATGACGTCCGGTTCCTTTTGTGTTTGATTTATCTTATTTTGTTCACTATTTTATTTAAAAAAATAATGATTTGGTCACTTACATTTTCTATTTATCTTATTTTAGTCACTAAATCAATAACTTAATGATGTGACACATTAATACAGAAAATTAATTTCTAATTTAACCCCTATAATTTAAAAAAAATTCACTCTCTTCAGATAAAAAACCCGAAACCCTTTTTCTTCCAAAATTTCTCACCTTTGACCCTAACCCTAACAATCATCCTTTTTTATCAATGTTGCCACTATTAATCGTCGCACACCCTTTTTTCAAACCCCAATGCTCTCATACTCTCGTCATTGTTCGTTGTGCCGACCACCTCACCTCTATATTGAACCCTCCACCTCTCATCTATATCATTCATCTAAACCCCAAATCATAGCAACTCCAAAACTCTACATACCCTCGACTCTATTTACTTCACCATGTTGTGCATGAAAGCATAGCGCATCAAACAAGGTCACTAGCGTGACATCACAAGCGCGCACGACAACCCAAAAGTGACGGCACTGGATGAGCAAACCAGAGCGAAGGTATGATGGGGCTGAAGGATAGAGCTTCAGTTGGTCAAGAGGTAGGGGTGCTAGAGACGTTCGGTAGAAGGCAAGCAGAGAACCAAGGAAAGGGCTGGAGGATGGCTTTCATAGATAGATGGGATGCGACAAGCACAATGGATGACCTTGGGACGGTCATGAGTTGTGCGATGAGGGTTATAGTGGTTGAGAGAGTTAGGAGAGAAATGGGTTTTGGGCTTGCGGTAGTGCTTGAAGGAAGTTAAGGAATGCAACCGTGCGGATCCAGAAATTTATAAATGAGAGACCAAAATTTTAATTTTAATTTATTAAAAATAATAGGGTGAATTTGTTTTTATTTTTATAATTTTTTTAATATATTATACTAAATTTAACTTTTTTTCTAAATAATAGGGTCAAATGCATCCGCCCTGAAATGCAAGTGACTGAATCGAAGAGAGGGATAGATTACCAGTGGGACAAGAGAGATGATGATTGATAAGACGATGACGACACAATGACGACAATGGTGCACAACTATAGGGTGGTGTAGCACAAACATCGATGATCCCATGTGGTTTCTTGAGCACCCATTTCACTTGTTGATAAAATATGAAGCGGTCGAACGAAGGTGTCTGAAAATGACGATAGCAACGATGAGGGTTAGGGTTAGTGAAGAGGGTTTTTTTAGGGGAAAAAGATTTTAGTTTTTTTTTATGGGGAGGTGAAAGCAATAATCTTTTGACACTCCAAGGGTTAAATTTAAAATTAACTATTTATTAAACTTACCACGTCATCGGATTAAAAAGACTTAACTGCTCAATAACCATAATAAGACAAAACGATATCGTAAGTGATAAAATCATTATTTTTCAAAATTGATGATTAAAATAAGATAGATCAAAAACAAAAGGACCACCTGCATAGTTTACCCTTTTAATTATTCACATCTTATTTGTGTCTTGTTTAGCAGTACCGAACCAAAAACGAGGGTTTTTTCTTGAAATTTGAATGGAAAAAGTTATATAAAGAATAAAGTATGATGTGGCTAACCCCATGTAGTAAGTTCCTGACATGGTGATGATACCAGCGGGGTTTCCATCAAGCAGGGTTGACCAAACAAGCTCCCCACTGGATCGCTTCACAGCAACAACAGAAGCCGGTCCACAGATCCCAATGATGAGCAAATCATCCGCAATGGCGGGCGTTGTTCTTGAAACTATGACACTAACATTGGATATAAGTCCAGTCGGATTAAAGCCAGTTGTGAGAAAGCAGCCACGGAAGTTGAGTCGATGGTATGAGTTGAAGAATGGCAACTGTGGGTGTTTGGATTTAGATACAGGAAAATAAGAAAGTGAAAGAGGAAAGCACTAAAGATATTTTTATTGTAAATGACTTCTATGAATTACAAACTAAACTTGGGTATTTTATAGCCCAAATATAACAACCTAATGACAACTCAAAACAGATTTAACAAACTAACAACTAATTACAACTTATTTCTAACACCAGTCAACTGCTGCAAATTCTGTTTCCAAATAAGAGATCCATCGGATTCGTTAACAGCGTAAAGATATCCATCCCAACTTGGGAAGTGAACTGCCCCTCGAAAACCGATGGTGTCGCAGTGATGTCTCTTCCGGCATTGAATTTCCATTTCAATCTCAGATTCGAAACCGTTTCGGGGCTTATCTTGCTTTCCTCGTTGGCATATCTCCTGTTCAGTATGTCTCCACCATGGCTTAACCAACCCTACGTAAATGGATTCAAGATTTAGTCTATGTAAGATAACATAATACCTACAGATATGTGCATCGGTTTTGCAGATTATTTTTCCCATATATGTATGTAAAAGAGGAGGAGATTTTGAGACTTGGAAAAATAACAGCAGACAACTATATCATCCAAAAATTTTTGGATAAATTTCAACGACAAGAATAGAAACTGCTACAAAACCAGCAGTGTTCTGTTTACCAAAAAAAATTTACATACAAAAGAATTAAGAGCAGTTTATATTCCAAAATGTACAAAGGGTAGAATTAGTGCTATCATTTCTATTTATGTTCCTATCCCGAATCGCACCACATCCTTAATGACAATAAACAATTCTTGAGTGTTTCTGCAGTGACCTTGAAAGAGCCTCCTGTTTCTTTCTTCCCATAGGACATAGATGAGGGAATTAAGAGCAAGCTTCAAGATCAAAGTTAGCAAAGATTTACCTTTCCAAGTAGAGCTTTCCCATGCAAAAAAAAAAACATCCCAAGAGGTTATGGAATGTTGCAGACCAGTGTGAGTGAAAACATAATTCCATAATTGTTGAGCCATATGACAATGGAGGAACAAGTGCTCCCTTGTTTCCCAAGGATTGTTGCAAAATAAGCAATGGCATTCATTGATAATCCCCATTTGGCATTCATTGATAATCCCCATTTGGTGAAGTCTCACTTTTGTTGGAAGTCTATCAAGTAATGCCATCCAAGAAATCAAGTTGTGCTTAGGAATGTGCAAAGGAAACCAGATAATTTTTTGTCAGTGGACTTGGGGTATGTTATCACGAATTGCTTCCCAAATTGTAGAAACTTTCATAGTTCCAGCAGTCAACACTGAGGAAGCCTTGGTTCTAAGTTTAAAAATACGCCTTAAATTCCAGCTACAAGAGGGATGAACATTAAAATTCCAAAAATTGTTGCCTTTAAGAACATAGTGTTTGACCCATGCAACCCATAGAGAACCTTCGCCTGCTAAAATATTTTTGATATGGAGGATCATACAAGCTTTATTCCAAGTCTTCAAATCTTTAAGACCAAGCCCTCCCTCGGATTTCAGAAGACAGATGTTTTGCCAACTCACTCTAGCTCCTTTCGCAGCTTTATCCTCACCTTTCCAGAAAAAACGTGAGCAAAGTTGCTCAATTTTTTTAAGGACATAATGAGGAAGAGAGATTTGCCTACACCAATAATTAGTGATACTGAACAAGACAACTTTGATTAATTCCAGCCTTCCAGTATAGCTAAGAGATTTAGTAGACCAATGATTTAACCTTGCTCTAATGCATCACAATCACTTTCAGTAATTTTCCTGGTAACAAGAGGAATTCCGAGATATCGAACAGGAAGTCTGTCAATTTGAAACCCAGTGAGAAGTTTGATTTCCACCAGAATTGAACAATGAATACCAGCAACATAAAGGTCACATTTCGAAGCATTAATCTTAAGGCCAGACATCTCATAAAACATATCAAGGACACTAGAAACCCCAATAACAGAATCAGCAGTACCTTTACAGAAAATTAAAAGATCATCGACAAAAGAAAGATGTGTGAGGCCAATTTTTTTACATTTCGGATGGAAACCAAAAATACCTTTGGCAGCTGCTAAATTGAGGAGTTTAGAGAGAATGTTCATAGAGAGAACAAATAACAGAGGAGAGAGGTGATCACCTTGATGAATGCCTTTAGCTCCCTTAAAGAAACTAATAAGACTCTCATTAAAGGAAATAGAGAATCTAACAGTAGAGAAGCAAAGTTCAATCCAATTGATGAAAGTACTTGGCATAGACTACAAGAATTTGTTGGTCTTTTAATATTCAACTACAGTAATCTTTCTTGTAATGAATTAAATACAAGAATTTCACTATTCAGTTATTAATGGTTTATAGACATAGACTAACATTTTTATTTAAGAAATATTTTGATACATAGACTTTAATTTACATAATTTTCTTTTTAATGTCATATGTTTTATGTAAATTGTAGATTATAAGATTTAAGATTTAAGATTTTAAATTTTAAAATTTAAGATTTAAGATTAAAATTATATACAAGATTATACAAACTAAATTTTACTCGTGTTCTACAACCATGAAATTCCCCCAATCTTAACATTTATTGCAAACAATGGTTCTTATTCATATGTCGAATCACTGAATAGGACCCCATTAACCACTGTCACAGCCTCACTGGCTGCACCGTTGCTAGGGTTGGCTGTTAACCAAAGGATTTGACCATTATTAGCATCCATTGCCGCCGGCAGTGATGTTCCCTGTGGATGACTTCTAATTCTAAATGAAGCTAATACTTTGAATAAACATCATGATTATGTGGCCTGATTTTTCAATTTTTTTATATTTATTAAAAACATTATATTTATCTTTCTAACTATGTCATTTGAAATGTTAGTAAATTCAAATTTAGACCACCTCAACGGTTTCTTTTTATTTTTAAAAAGAGATGATTAACAGATTCAGGGATCAAGTGGCAAAATGCACAGTTAGAATTGTAAAACGCAAGGGCACACCTTTTGACTGAGTCGCTTTTTGTAGGGACCCAACCCCATAAGAGCCTCATAAGCAAGTCCTAAAGTTCCATTTTGCAAATGAGTTTCTTGAACATTGATCCTTTTTTCAATGTTTAGGATCTAACTCAACGTCGTATTACTTCTTCTTTTTCAGCCATCTCTTAATGGCCAACTTCAAGCACCTGATGTAACACCCCAATTTAGGGGTTAAATTTTAGAATTATAAAGTGGTGGATTTAATTGGTAATTTGGGAATAAAATTGAGGATTAAATTGAAAATTTTCAAAGTTGATAGACCGTTTTATAAAGTGTATGAAATTCAGTGACTAAACTAATGGTTTACCCATTTTTTAATGGGATGAATTATAACCCTCCCCGTGTGTTTTATGCAGATTTTCCCAGTTTTCCCTCCCTGCTCTCCTTTCAACTTCGATCTACTCACCGTCCGGCCTTCGTTCGACAAACCGAAACTGTCATCGTGTTCGTTGTTGACCGATGAACAAAACCCTTCAAACATTTCGTCGTCGTCGTCGTCGTTAATTTTAGTTAGAAGTATCGTTGGTTTTAACTTGATTTCCGTTGGTTTTCCATCAATTCACGTCGATCCAGCCACCCGTTTTCGACACCTCCGTACTATAGTGTTCCTTGCATCGTTCCGAGTCCACTGGTGTTCTCCGTTTCTCCGTCGTCGCCGGCGTGTGGAGGGTGAGAAAATCAAAGTTTTTGATGTTTCGTAATCGAGCTCTCCGCCGTTCAAAATTGTGAACCGAACTTGGTAAATGTCTCAAAATGCCTTAAAATAATTTTTAGAAATTTTTTCGGGAATTTTTGGACATCCCAAGACGTCGCACGCGCCCCATACGCGTGGGGAAGTCCTGGCCGCAGGTAAAAAAACTCGGGTGTTAGTTTTGTAAATATTTTTAAAATGGTGCTAATATAATTAATTTCTGTTATGGTGATATTTGTGTAAAACCATTGACCATAACTTTGATCGGCTTTGACCGACCATTAAACGACCATTGACTTTTTTCGAGTATACCTATCTTGACGTTTTTCGACATTTTGAGTCCGTTTTTTGGGTCTGTTTCGCCAAATTCAAAACCAGTAAATTGTTTTTCACTGATTTATCATCCGATTCGATCCGTTTTTTGGAATTAAGCCCCATTTTTTATGAAATTTTAATTGTTATGTATTTGGGGAATTATTGGAAGTTGAATTAAAGATTCGAGGACATTTGAATGGAAATTATATGATCGATCAGTATGCACAAAAATCGAGGTAATACATTACTACCTATTTATGCTTTATAGAACATATTGAAAATGGAAAAATGTATGGATGTACATGATTGGACTATTATGCATGTTTGTTTATGGATGGAATCGAATCGAATATGGTTTAAGCGATAAATTATGAGAACAATTCGATTAGGTAAAATTATGAAAATACCCTTATATTGTAAAAAAACTAGATTTGACCATGGAAGTTGGATAAGGGTTTTTTTAAAGACATGTTGATCTGATGAAACTACTGATGTGCATAAGAAATACTAGTTTTTCTTAGGAAATTGGGATAACCGGTTTTTAACCCCATGAGGGTTTATGCAAGATACTAGAAGTCTGTTATGGAATCATTTCGAGATCAAAGAATGTTCGGGAAAGAAATTAACCATAGGATCTCTAAATTATAGTTATTTTCATTAAGAGTTAATACCGAAATTATTTGGGTTAAGAAATTACGAAAATGCCCTTAAGAGGTAAAAATAGTCTGAGTTGACCTGAATGGGGAAATATTTTGAGAATTTGTACTTAACTCGATAAATTACGGATTTGATTATTAAGATTCTGTCTTTGTACAAAAAATTCATGATATTCCGTTTGTAAAATCTGAGAAGGCACTTGACCCGAAAAATATCCGAGTTATGAGTAAATATCTAAAGAACAATTTATCGAGGGTGTTCTTTTGTAGGAATTATTCGAAAGGACTGAAATAAATGATAAGATTGAATTTAATAGTAAGATCGGACGGAAGGAAAGGATTGGAATACACTGAATCTATAAAATGACCAAAATACCCCTAGAATAGAAATGACTCAAGAATATCACTAAGCCCAGGAATGAATGGACATCCTCAAGCTTTGAAATGAATGGAAAAATATTGAGCACCAAAATAACCAAAAGGCCCTTATGGTCTAGACTAAGTAAATGTTTTGGATTAATTAAGAAATTCAAATAAACATGGATGGTGTACTACTCTTAAAAGTTATGGAACGCAACTTAAGCCGGTCAACCAACACTAGTGCTATATCAATACTTGAATGGCATAGATGCCACTTGAATGCTTGTTCGTCTCCTCAAGTTTGGATTGATGATAATTATGGTAGCACTCAGTTCAACTCAACACTAGAGCGCCTTCGATATTAAGAAGTGGATATTCGTGAGATAAATCAACCACGAATACCAAATGATTTTATTATATGACCAAAATGAACTGAAAGGAAGTACAATATGTATCCGAAACTCAGAAGCGTCTGAATTACTTGGGAAGACTCTGAAGTAAATGAGATAGGTTTGACTACTACATGAACTAAGTGACCTTAATGACAGAGAAATTAGTAAGTGATTGGAAGAGTCTGGGAACACCAATGAACTTGTATGATGTATGGTCCCTATGGGTTATGAACTAAGAATCAAATACGTCGATAATTCTTGATATTGTTGCAATGTGGAAAGGAAGTAAATATTACTGGGATATCTGTTCGATTTCTTAAGGTATATTTAGCGATGATTTGGCAATAAAAATTTTGGTGTATAGACTCTTCTCAAGATCCTCTTGAGAATCGACCAAGAGGGGGGTGAATTGGCAATAATTGCCAGTAAATATTACTGGGATACCTATAATTTCACCATCCTTGACATAGTTGTACCTCTTGGATAAGATACTTCCTTTCTTCAATGGTTGGATTCTCAAGAGGATCATGAGTTTCCTCATTTTTCGTTTCTTCCTTTGATGATGGTTCTCCAACGTCATGTCTAACGTCATTTGTATTTATAACACCTACATCATCATTCACACAAGAATCCTTCCTCGAAAGGGGATTATCATTGAAAACAACATGTATAGACTCTTCTACAACTAAAGTTCTTTTATTAAATACACTATATGCTTTAGAATTTAAGGAATAACCCATAAAAATTCCTTCATCACTTTTAGCATCAAATTTGCCAAGGTTTTCTTTACCGTTGTTTAAAATAAAACATTTACATCCAAAAGGATGAAAATAACTAATGTTAGGCTTTTTATTTTTGAAAATTTCATATGGAGTTTTCTTTAAAATTGACCTAATCATTACTCGATTTACAACATAACAAGCGGTATTTGTGGCTTCCACCCAAAAATATTTTGGCAAATTATTTTCTTAAAGCATGGTTCTAGCCATTTCTTCTAAAGTTTGATTTTTCATCTCAACAACTCCATTTTGTTGAGGGGTTCTAGGTGCTGAAAAATTATGGCTAATACCGTTAGAGTTACAAAATCAGTAAATCCAAGATTTTCAAATTCAGTTCCATGATCACTCCTAACACTAGTTATAGAGTAACCTTTTTCATTTTGGATTACTTTCGAAAATGTGATGAATTGTTCTAATGCTTCATCTTTAGTATTTAAAAATAGAACCCAAGTATATCTAGAATAGTCATCTACCAAGACAAATGCATATTGTTTTCCACACAAGCTAGTAGTTCTAGTTGGCCCAAAAAGATCTAATTTGGATCAATTGTAAAACTCTACTAGTTGATACATCATTAATGGATTTAAAAGAAACTCGCTTTTGTTTTCCTTTAGCACAAGCATCACAGATTTTATCATTATCAAATTTAAGCTTAGGCAACCCTCTTACTAGGTCTCCTTGAATTAACCGTTGCAAAACACTCATACTAGCATGTTCTAGTCTCCTATGCCATAACCAACTATCATGTTCATCCTTAGCAACTAGGCATAAATTAGTCATATCAAAAGAATCTAAATGCACCATGTATATGTTTCCTATTCTATGACCAACAAGCATAATCCGATTAGATGCAATGTCAATGACTTTACAACCATTAATTTCAAATAAGACATTGAATCCTTTATCGTATAATTGACTAATACTCAATAGATTATGCTTTAATCCATTCACATATAAAACATTTTTAATTTGTATGGAAGAGGTATTACCTATTGTACCAATACCTTCAATGTGACCTTTTGAATTGTCTCCAAAAGTCACTTCTCCTCCATTTTTGGCGTTAAGCTCAATGAACCGGCTTTTGTCTCCTGTCATGTGTCTTGAGCATCCACTATCAAGGTACCATGAATTTGAATTTGTTTCCCGTGCCTTGTAGCAATGCTCCTTTCCCTACAAACATAGATTAATTTTTTATTTTTTGGTACCCAAATTCTTTTGTGTCCATATTCATTAGTTTCCAAAATCCTAGTCCCCTTAGGTATCCATTTATGTAGGATATTTTTATCTTTAGTAGTAATGAGTTCTTTAGGAACCCACATACTTCTAATGATTTTTCCATTAGAGGTTCTTTGGGGACCTCTATGATTGTAGTTTCTAAAACTTTTTCTAACAAAATTGGATTTTGAATTTCCACCTTTTTCAAAATGTTTTGTTCCAACTTTATCAAAAGAAGTTTTAAGATCATCAATTTTCTTTTGATGATCATCATTGATCT